TTAGGTGGTAAGCGGGTATCTTTAAGTCTGTAAAGTGTCTTCTACTATCAGGTTACCCGATTCTCTAGGTCTAGTAATTAAATAGAGAGAGGAGATTTGCTCAGCCAAGTCTCGGTCGACGGCATGGGAGGCACACTTTCGAACCAGTGCAGTGACAAACGAGAGCAGCCACCATTCCACTGAGAAGAAGACACCCGGCCGGTGAAACGAGCTGCACAATTATCTAAATAAAAACATGCTCTGTACAACGCCCAGCTAAGTAAAATCAGTGTGGAATAGAGATCACAGCATCTCCCAGAATGGTCAGAACCCCCCAACAGATTGCTTTGGAAGGATGGAAGGGCTACCAACGTTCACTTTAGAGTGAGGAAGCGGGCAGTTTTTACAGCGAAAACGAGAAATTAAGTTAGACTTCTGGAGGCGAAGATGATTCTCCCGCGGCAGTTTGGGGTTCATTTGACTGCTTTCTGTCCTCATGCTTAATGGAATTAGGAGGAGATGAGTCCATCGAAGACAGCAGCATGGAGGATAAGCGTGTACTCAAAATGCGACGTGTTCGCATGACGGCTGCTTCATGTACTTTCCAGCTGAGAGAAATGTGGACCAGTGGGTTCAGCATATGAACGCAGGATGCTAGCGCCAGAACATAAAAGTGCATGTTCAGTAGGCCAAAGAGCACCAAGAAGAGTGGTAGGTTAAGGAGATAGAAGGTCATGTCCAAAACACAGAGGAAAGAAATACCGAATAGGCTTCTTATGGTTCGAAGAATGGCCGTCCGTCGCGCAGATGACAATGGGACACTACGGGTTCTCCACAGGCCCACAAAGACACCAGAAGGACGAGCCTCCCAGCTGTTGGGCCTCGGCAGCACATGAACCTTTAACAGCTCACGAAAAATGAGTATGTGCATAATGATAGCAGCCAGACTGCTGACAACGAATATGGCAAAGAAAAGGCATTTTAGCAGTCGATACGCTGCTGGTGTTTTCGAGACGCTGGAGACGTACAAATGGGTGTAGGCAAAGAAGGTGCCCATGCTGCAAAACGCACTCAGAAGGAGAAGGAACAGCACCACCTTGCAGATGTTGGCTTTCAGAGTTTTGGCCTGCAATGGATGACAGATCCGTACGTACAACAGCGATGTATTGAGAGCTAGCAGAATTGCCATGATAGTTCCACGACTGGGGGTGAAGAAAATGTGAAAATTAAGAAGGAAGAAGTGTTCTTTTCTGTTAAAGTTCGGGTGGGCTAAAATGAGGTCACAGGGCAGAACTACTGCACACATGAAGGCATCATATAGAGCAACGCCGATAACACTGCAACTAAACCTTTGACCGACATCAAAATCCCAGATGTGAGGAACAGTCTGCGTGCCTTCTGAACGTACTCGAACTGAGCAGGGTCCTCCACAGCTGGACTGATGTCGCATCGGCGCATGAAACCTACTGTCTTCAAAGAAGACTTCCACCAAGCGATGGCGACAATTATAGACCACGTACGCACAAAGTATACAGCAGTTTGCTGCAATCCCAATGCTGATGATTATGATGTATAGGGAGAGGAAGACTAGAAACTGATTTCTTGGAATATTAAGTAGCTGCAGACGCTGCCAATACTCCATATACACCCCTCCAATGAAACCATCAGCCACTGCTGGTAGTTAGTAGAGGGCCGAGGAAACAGAAAAGTGGGTTAGAGAAACCATGCATGCATTTGTCTGCGCCATCAGCCGTCACGTGGTAGTCTCCCCTCCCCTTCCCTTCCTGGCAGGGTGCTAATGCATGTTACCTTAGCGCTGCCAATCGTCTATCGATTTTGCCCCGTCAAAATGTCCACTGTCTGTTTGCGCACCCGCTTGACACGCCAGCACTCGCGAAGGCAAAGACTGCTGATGACAGGAAGACTGGAAGACTGACAAGTCACACTTAGGAGCGAAACATCTCACTTTGAGCATGCAG